GTCTAGGCCCGAAACGTCAGCCTTCCTGCTCCTCTGATGCTGCTTGGCCTGCTGTGTTCATCCAGCTGTACACCTTGTTATCTCAGATTCTCCAGCATCTGCAGTTCCTACTACCTCTGAAGCAGTATCTTCAGTCACTCAGTTTTGTGTATGCAATGTGTAGTGGCATCAGTAGCCACAGAACAAGATGAGGTGTAGACCTGTGATGTTACTGCAATATAAGTCTGAATGTGAGCCTGATCTTTGTGGTGTGTCATTTTGAGCCGACAAATGTGGTAGTACTTAGACCATATCATGCTGGCAGTGGCAGTTGAGCCAAGAAAACATGTCATGGTGACATATTGTGATGGTAGCAAGTGCGCAGTAAAAGATAATAGAAGCTAGTTGGTACTAAACAGTGACAGTTATGAAGAGTGTTTTCCTAATAATCATTCCTCCCCTTTGTTCAGAGTTGAAGTTAACGACCAAGACTGAAGTGCCGCAAACCTGTAACTGGACGAAGAAACGTTTCAGTACACCGTCTTTAAAAGGAAAACCAGGAGACCACAACAGATCAGATGTTTACTTTAAATCAGAGTGTTAAAATGCGTTAAAATAAAGCTCCAACCTACGGATGCATCTCCATAACAAAGTACAGAACAAGTTACTGAACAAAATATTTTCTTTCTCAAAAAGGCCTTATCTGCATCCAGACATCAGCACCTGCATTGACATTCTGTCAGAATTTCCATCATTTGAAGAAAGAGAATCAATGTTTGCTTCCCAGCTCGACAAATACCTGATAAGGCAATAAAAACAAAGTTGCTGGAAAAGCTCAGCAGATCTGGCAGTATCTGTGAAGGAGAAAACAGAGTTAATGTTTCGGGTCCGGTGACCCTTCCTCAGAACCCTGATAAGGCAAAACTGGCAGCTAAACTCTTCATTGCTCTCAGGAACAAAGGATTAAGGAAAGTCAAATGCTCTTGTATGTCTCATGATGTCGGAAAATTCCTGACAACGTTTTGCAGATTTTAGAAGATGAGCTTAAAGTTTAGGTCAACTTCAGGTCCACAGGCTTGAATTCGTGTCGTAATGACAATGGGCACGTTGAAGTAATTGACTGATTCATAGGCAGGTGTCAATGCAGTGGTAGAGAATGTGATTTCACCGAGTCTAATTTGGCTGAAAGGTTTATGGAACTGGTCATTGCATCCATAGCCATTAAAAGCTTTTCTTCAGAAAGGCGTTTCTAGAGAAATCTAAATAATATACCAGTGATGCATGGCTAGAGGTAGGACGCAGGTCCAAATCAATCATAGTTGATCAACAACATTTTCAGTTGTTTAACTAGTACAACAATTACAGGGATACAGTGGCTCAGTGGTTAGCACTGCTGCCTCACAGTGCCAGGGACCTAGGTTCAATTCCACCCTCGGGTGACTGTCTGTGTGGAGTTTGCACGTTCTCCCCCATGTCTGCGTGGGTTTCCTCCAGGTGCTCCACTTTCCTCCCCCACTGCAAAGACGTGCAGGTTAGGTGGATTGGTTGCAGGAAATTGCCTGTAGTGACCAAGGATGTACAGGCTAGATTGATTAGCCATGGAAATGCAGGGTTACAGGCACAGAGTAGGAGGGGGTGGGTCTGGGTGGAATTCTGTTCAGACGATCAGTGTGGACTCAATGGGCCGAATGGCCTGCTTCTACACTGTAGAGATTCTATGAAATATTGCAGCCATTAACAGGCTCAGCAAAACATCCAGATTTTGTATGAGATGTGGCTTGTCTGATCCATCCAGAATTTTGGTAAGTGTGTAAGCTATGTTTTTTTAAAAAGGACATTGGATTTGTTTCACCTTTTAACCCAGTTGAGGAAAACCAAAAGTGTAACACAATGCTCAACAGACAACCCAATAAACGCTGTCAAGGACGTTTCCAAAGTTCTATCCAAGACACACAAGCATATCAATCAAACCCAAGCATTATGTTGAATGTCACAACTTACAGACCTCCATCAGACAGCACAAGTGGTCAGTTTAGAAGCAAAATGCTGTGAATGCTGGAAATCTGGAATAAAAATGGTTCGAGCTGGAGAAATGTAACAGATTGGCATCTGTGGCTCCTCAGTTTGCTGCACCAGGTGGATATTGTCAAAAAAGCTGAAGCTGTTTCTTCATTTTAAGTGATAAACACCAAAAGGAATGGATGACTTACAGTAAGCACCAAGATTGACTCTACCTCTGGTCCAAATATCGTCCTTTTATGCAAGTTACAAGAAATGTACTCAGGAAACTGCAATGATGTGGACAATCCACACACGATAAACTTGCTGCTTACAAAGAGTCTGATATTCTGTGCATTGGCATTATCCATCTTCAGTGTTAGTGTACCTCGCTGGGACGGACATCTGAAACATCATTGGCATTATCCATCTTCAGTGTTAGTGTACCTCACTGGGATGGACATCTGAAACATCATTGGCATTATCCATCTTCAGTGTTAGTGTACCTCACTGGGATGGACATCTGAAACATCATTGACATTATCCATCTTCAGTGTTAGTGTACCTCACTGGGTTGGACATCTGAAACATCATTGGCATTATCCATCTTCAGTGTTAGTGTACCTCACTGGGATGGACATCTGAAGCCTTTTACATCTTTGCTGCAGCAAGACCAGCTATCCGTGATCTACCAGCATGTATAATCTATATCTTATGATCCACGAGGTACCAAACTCCATGAATTGCAGCACCAAAGATTTGAGACTGCATCATCCAGTCTAGCCATCAACCACAACAATGGAGAGAGTGTCTCCTACCATCAGGTTCTTTCTAAGGTGCAGTTCAAGGTCACACCTGAAATTTTACCATGCCCAAGGATGTAATTACATTCCTGTAACTCACTACTTCGCTAAGTTCCCTGTTGTGCGACAAATCAAACATGCCGCCAATGTACTAGTCGTTGATGCATTGACCACCAGATTAAGGAACACTGAACATACTTAACAAACTGTGTCAGGCAAAAGTCCGCAGTCTGCTAATGCACCCAGGAAACTTCTCCTCGCCACCCTCAGTCTAATGTCCTCACAGAACACACTGGGTCATAAAATCCATAACGTTCAAATGTAACACGACTTGCCAAGATTGTCAGAAAGCTATTGCCACGCTTCAAGACAATGGTTTATCCGCACCAGAAACACTCATGTTTGGAAGATGGATCCACACAGTTGCCCCCTCCCACAATATTAATGCCCAACCACATGTGTGATGCAGTGTTAGAAAGAAGGGCGATAGTAGTTTAACAGCACAAGCAACAGACATGCAGTCAGTTATTCCAATTTGAACCAGAATGAAGCATAAGAGTTTGAGATTTTCATATAAACAAATGGTTTCATGGAAACATGCTACATCATTGTGTATAGGTTGTGCTGCAGTGTATGGAGCAACAGTCGAGTTGTGTGAAAAAATGGGTGACATTCAAATCCCCTATCATCAACCACCCGTTGTAGCCCATGAATACCTGGATTCTGAAGATACCATGCCAAACAACAACGACACATCTATGGCAAATGGTACAAATCCGTCCACAATGACACATCATAGACTGAAGCTACACAGCCCGATCATGATAACTATATAAGGACTAGACTGATCGTGTCATACATCTACCAAAACATTACCTCAGTGTGTAGAGACAATACTCCTATATGAAGCTCAGAAATGGATGTCATTGTTTTAAAGGACAAACAGGGAATGTTGTGTTATCGATTCCACACCAGGCAGGCAGTGCACCTTTATGGCAGTTACATGTAATCAAGGTACATGGTTTAGGATAGAGGTACCTGCCTTACCTTCAGTCATAGAGTGTGATGGAGTCCATTATCTGTCAGTTAGTGTGCAATTTTCAGCAACATCAGTAAGCACAGAACCCAGACTATATATAAGTCTATAATATTACAGCAATGCAAATAGTCTGCGTTAGCAAACTTAAAGACACCAATCTCAAAAAGTACCTGATCTTTGTGATATGTTATCTGAGCTAATGCATAGGGAGCACACAAACTATATCATACTGGAAGTGATATTTAACCCAAGAAACTGCATGATGGTGGCTCATTATGATGCCACATTATCTTTGATGACATTTTTATCGTAAATGTTGCAAGACATTTATTAGGTTAATATATTAAAAGCTCAACGGACATTACATTTTTTTCTAATTTGAACATCCTACCGCTCTGCTTTCCATGGCCTTTCCTCAATAAACTGTGAATGTTTGTGTGATTAAATTTCAGCTTTGTAAATTAATGTTCGAGTGATTTGTCTTTTCACCTTGCATGTCACCAACACTGTCTTTTGCATGAGTACATTCCACATTGAAAGGCATGTTCTGAAAATTCTGCAACATTTTTGTTAAAATCCCAGATGTACTTTTGGAAAGCACCTTTATTATTTTTCTTTACTTCATTGCCAACATCATCAGTCTCTGTGGATCATTTAATTCATCTCACCGTTATTCTGCTAAGATGTTACCCATTGGTAAAACTTGGGTTGATTTTAACTTTGGGCCAGAAAACTAGCAAGAGTGAACACTAGTATAACGTAGCCTTCCTGTCATCTCTGCCTAACCAACTGCCTGTCATGAGTGCCCCCATTCAGGAGTGGAGGTGAAATTTGGGGTCACGTGTTCACACACAACTTTGATTTGTAATTGTTTTAGGCTCTTGTCTGAATCAGCATCGAGTACCTCAAATGAAAGTGGAACATGGGCCGAAATTGAGCTGTACTGACTGAATTGCTCCCATTCCTTTTTCCACAGGGGGGGAGGAGAATTAAAATTTCCCTTGCTGTGTTCCATTAAGATATTTTTAATCACCTAGTTGTGCAAAATGTTAAGTGATGATTAGAAATTTAGGTTTCTTGTTCTATGATGATGTTTTAGATTGAGGAGGACACAAATAAACAGCTCATTAGATCCTTTACTTTCACTCCAGGTAAATTCCATCACAGAGCATCAATTCTTCACAAACTGGCCAAAAACAAATGTCAAGTAGATGATGGTGAAAAACCCAATGCAACTACTAATCATGCAGGTAACTATCTTTGTGTTTAAAGTTTAAATAGTGCCAAGTGGTTCAAATTCTGTTTTTCAGAGTATTCACGTTATTTTTTCAAGCCCTTTTGTTTTCAATACAAGTACTTCTGAAATGCTGTTCGAGATTGTATAGTAAAAAGAAAGGTTTCTGTAGTCATGGAGTCATTTTTCCCCTTATTCTACTTGAGCTGTCTTACTGAAGCAAGATATGAAGAAACTGACACTTTACGAACTGTCCATTGATCCATGTTTGAAATTATAGTTTGGTCATGTACTTGAAGAAGCCAAAGGTCCTTTTCAGCACCTTGATCAGAGCCAAAAATGAGCTTTTTGCTGACTTTTGTATATTGGATTTGAAGTCAGAGTTATAAATGATTAAGAGCTGTATCCTGACCTGTGAACATTAGAACAGGAAACAGTCACTTGACCCATCAAACTGGCCTGACCACCTTGTGAGCCACTGCAACATCTGTTTTTATTGAAATTCTCTGCCATTTCTTCAGACTTACTCAACTGTCTGCTTATCCCCCCATTTTAACAGTTTAGGTGATTTTGTATGTATATTCTTTTAGACAGCAGAATTCTTGGCAGAAGGTACTTTCCTTGTTTTGGGCTAGTTTTTAAAGAGCTTAGCTGAAATACTGATTTATTTTTACACTTCCGGAATTTATTTTCTAGAGGAATTCTGCATTGTCTTAAAACCTCAATCGGATCATCTCTCAGAACATTATATTGTGAAACAGCGTGCAGTGTGTAGCACGGAATTTTCTCTCAGTAAGCTCTACATTCATTTTTCTGTCTTGTTTTCCTTTGCAATTTTCTTAAAGCGGTGCTTTTTCACTGGTTGATACAGAATATATTTGGAGCCTTTCTTAAAATAAGATGCACTGCCTCTGTCGCTGTCATTAGCCACCCTCCAATGGGTGTTTTTTATGGCCAGTGGTCAGAGAATTTGAGATAAATGCAAGTATGTGAATAAAGAGTGTCTGGCAGATACTTAGATTTTCAGAAGACATTTGTTAAGGTGCCACATCAAAGGTTACTATAGAAAATAGAAGCTCATAGCTCATGGTCAAGGGGCTAGCATAATGGTTTGGATGGAAGATTGCCCGGCTAACAAAGAAACAGATAGTAGGTGTAACAAATGGTACGCCACAGGGATTAGTGCTGGGACCTGACTCTTTACAATTTACATAAATGATTTGCCCAAAGTGACTGAAGGTATGGTTGCCAAATTTTCTGACAAAGCGTAATTCTAATTCTAACTTTCCTTTTAGAATTAGAAGAGGACCCAGGGAAGAAATTACAAAACAAAAATATTAATCAATTACGTGACTGGGCAAAGATGTGGCCGTTGGTGTATAATGTGGGAAGGTGTGAATTTGTTCATTTTGACAGGAGGAATTTTTTAAAAAGCATAATCCAAATGATGAGATAGTGAGTTTCAGAGGATTCCATGAATTGAAACCAGCATACAGTCACAGCAGCTAAAAGAATGTTATCCTTTAGTCAGTGGAATTGAGTATAAAAATAAGGCAGTTGAAATAACTCCACAGAGGCCGGTCTCCCATCAACCAAGTCACCCTTTATTTACACGTGTACAATACTTAGCACTGATCCAGCTCCCTCAGAGCCAGCTTTCAGACACTCCTGTTTATATCTGTCAGCCAGGGCTCGCTGATTGGGGCTGTTAAACTGGTCCAATCAGGGAACTCATATTCTAGGAGGTCTACTTGGCTGACCTCATTACAATCACTACATCCCTCCCCCTCTATGTCCAGGGATGGAGGCATGTTCTTTGTCTGTAGCTTCTTCTGGGGCGTTATCACACCGAGTCTAGTTCCTCTGACACAGCCTCAGATATGTGTGATGTGCACTGGACTATAGTTTACATCTTGTGCTCAGAGTGACTCGGGAAATAATTCATCCTCCTCTTCAGGCAGTAAGCGTGTCGAGGCTGTGGTATCCACTGTGTCCATCTCAGAATCCGAGGTTTCTTCGACGTGAGTTTGAGGGGGAGAACCAATGGGTTCCGCCAGCCTTTCCAGCTGTTCCGAGGAGCCGCGTATGTCATGGTCCAGCTCTGTTTGCGAGTTTTCAGCTTTCACGTGATCCACGTGCTTGTTCAGGACTGCCTCACCCTACCCTGAACGTTACATGTCTTGCGGACTGACCTCGCATTGACAAGGCCCTTAATCACGAACAGCCATTCCCATGGTGTCGGCACCAAACTTGGGCCCCTGAAGTAAACTGCCTCCCTCGCTCAGAGGAGTCTTGTGTCTCTCATTGGCGTTCCTCCCCCTCCAGGTCTGGGAAGATCAGATTTAACTTGGTGCAGAGTCTTCTCTCCATTAGCAACTCTGCTGGAGCTGTCTCTGTAGCTGCATGAGGGATGGTCCTATAATCAAACAGGAACCGGGACAGTTTTGGTATCTAGTGAAGCTGTAGGCTGTTTCCTTAAGCCTGCCTTCAAATCTTGGACTGCTCTTTCTGCCAGACCATTGGACGATGGATGATATGAAGTTGACTTCTGTGCTAGTAAATGATGGCCCCTTGTCTGTGGCCAACACATATGGGAATCCATGTATCGCAAAAGATGCTCACAGGTTTTCTATCGCCATCCCCATGTTTGACGAAGGAACTCTCTGCACATTGAACCACTTTGAGTGGGTGACCACAGTGACTAATAACATTGAGCCCGTGAAAGGACCTGCATTGCTGACGTGTAACTGAGTCCAGGGGTTTACCCAACCATTCGCACGAATGTGGGGGAGCTGCTGACGGAAATTCTTATCCTTGTTGGCACTCTGGGCACTGCCCCACTAACGTGGCTTTGTCTGCATCCAATCCTGAACACCAGGCATAACCTCTCACCAACATCTTCATTTTGGACACCCCTGGATGACCCCAATGGAGTTCAGCCAGTATCTGGGCGACCTTTACTTGGGACAATCACTGTTGCTCCCTGTAATAATATGCCATCTGTGTGGTGATTTGGTCTCACTGGGTCCGGGAGGATTTAAATTCTGGTTGTGGAGGCCCTTTTGTTTCCCCCATCACCACCAGCTGCTTTAGTTTTGCCAGGACCGGATCTTTTTGTGTCCACAGTCTGATATTGTCAGCGGTGACCGGCAGGGTATCCTGAAAGTTTAAAACCAGAATGGACTCTTGCAGCGGACATTAACCAGAGGTGTATCTGCCAGCAGGAGCCAACTGAAGGCATCCATGTGTGCGACTTGGCCTCCCAGAGAGTGTTCCAACTTGTAATTGTACGTGCTTAGAATCAGAGTCCACCACTGAATTCAAACTGAAGCTATAGGCAGCACGGCCTTGTCTTTTTTAAGTGGCCCTAGCAGCAGTTTGTGGTCTGTTACTACGACAAATTTAGGTCCATAAAGGTATTTTTGGAACCTTCTCATACCAAAGATGACCACCAAACCTTCTTTCTCTGTCTGGGCATGTTTGCGCTCTGCCACAGCTAAAGTCTGGGAAGTTTACGCTATTGAGCGTTCCTCTCCTTGGGGCCATCTGAGAGCCAACACTACCCCGATACCATATGGGGAGCATCTCATGTCCGCACCACATCTCGCTTTGGATCATAGTGTGCCAACATCTTAGATAATGACAGCTGCTTCATCATTTCCCTAAAAGCTGCAACTTGCTTACAAGACCATTTCCAAGGCTGCCTTTCCTTCAATAGCAGATGTAAGGGTGCCAGAACGGAGACCAGGTTACATAAGAACTCTGTGTAATAATTCACCAATCCAAGGATAGACCTAGACTCCAGTATAGACATGGGAACCGGGACACCATTGATCACCTTCACTTTATCTTCCAACGGGTGTAACACAGTCTTGTCAACTCTGTAACTCAGGTAGCTCATTTAGAGTCAACAACAACAACAAGGACCAAGGAGGCCTTGGCTCCTTTGATAGTCCTTAGACCTTCCTAAAAAAAAGCTTCAAGTTTTTAATTAGGATGTCAGTCAGGCAGACATTTTCTCATTGATAAATTTTGAGCCAATCAAAATGAGTCTTTCTCAACTAATTTCACCCCATCAGGTTTGGGCCTGAGCCTTTTTACCAACATGAGTGGTAACTGAACCAGCTGTTTCTTGTTCAAGATCAGAACTGAAGTTGTACCCTCAATCTGTGAAGTTTCCCTGGTATAGGTTCTGAGGCTAGCCGAGGTCTTACACAAACTTAAGGGTTGGAGTCCAGAGTGAATTTCATTAAAGACTGGATCTGCAATCACTGAAATGGCCGCACTGGTATCAACCTCCATTAGAATTGGATGATCATTTAACCAGGTGTTTATTTTGATTGGTTCTGATTTGGATGTAGCGAGGCAATTTCGCTGTTCCAAGCCAGATGTAGTTGGGCTTTCCAGGGTGTTCACTCTCCTGAATACTGGTCAATGAGCTCTCTTACTCTGTTCAGGCCTAGTGGGACTCCTTTGCTGTCTGGAGCCTGCATACCAGCAGCAACTACAATGGCTTGCATGCCCTGAACCTGAAGAAAATAACTGTTTGGCCGAGATCTTGGCTTTGTTTTGGGTTAGGCTGTAAGATAACCTGGAGTCTTTCTGTTCAGGATATGTCCTGAGTGAGTCTATGCAATTACCTGTACTCAAGTGGTGACTCCCAAGCTCAGTTGGACTAGTGTGGGTGTCGACTTCTATTGGACTGTCCTGTAATTAATATGCTTCACTTACTGCATTCTCCAATGATAAATCCAGTTGTAGCGCATGTTTGAAGTCCAGTTGGGCTTCAGATAGTAGGCGCTTTTGCATGGTCACATCATTAATCCCACATACCAAGCAGTCTCTCAGCATTTCATTAAGCGTTAAGCCAAAGTCACATGCCTCTACCAGTCATATTAACCTTGTCAAAAATCCTGACATGGATTTCCCTGGTTCTCGAACTGCTGAGTAAAACCGATAGCATCTCAGAATTAGAGGAGACTTGGGGTCATAATATTCCTTAATAAATCCGCCAAC